AAAAAAAAGAAGAAAAAAGAACAGAGTTAATTGCTTCACACAAACTTGATTATCAAAAGCCAGGGCAAGCGCTTCTGTGATTCTATGAGCAAATAATTCAAAGTATTTTAGCGAGCTTTCAGAACATATATTGACCACCTGAATACGAATGAGCACAGGGGCATTTTTTCATCTGCACACTTTAAGCTGCATTTATTAACGTGCTTTTATTGAGTGGAGCAGCCCTCGTTCCTTGCACTGCAAAGCACGGACTGATTTAACTTGATTCAATTTAGAACAAAGCTACAATATCCAGAATTATGACCATCAAAAAAAGTCAAACTGACAAAAGGAATAAATTACTATTGGAATAAACCCCTTCTTCCCCAGTTAATTTCTGTAACATTAACTTCATTTTCGTGTCTTTCCCCAAAAACATATTTCAGCACGGCACGACGATGAGAAAAGCCCAAGCAGAGAGGAAGAGCAGGTGTAACACAGGAATCAGAAACATCAGGATCTCCAAAAGCCTCCGTGTTCATGCCCGCCCCAAAATAAGATGCCCACAAATAGTGCATTCTATGATGGCATTTTCTCCATATTTTGCACTCTAGTTTCAAAAGGCCTTGCTAGAAGTTAAATTGAGAGGGTGGATGGAAAAGAATAATAACATAAAAACTATTTTATATGATTAATAGGACAAAACAATGACACATACAAACATGAGGGTGAAAGACTTCTGATGACACAGATACATGTTATTTTCAAAGGCCCTACGAGTGAATGTTCCTGGTGTCCTAGAAGGTGAACAAGGGGTGCATAATGCCACTGTGGTTTCTAGATGGGAGAAGCCTGTGCTCTGTGGGACCTCCTACCACAAACATTTTGTCAATAGCAGACCGAGATAACAGCCTCTTCTAGAGAGAAAGCTCATAGCAACATGGAGACAATGTAATCAACACAGCCTCAAATACAGAGAAGTTTTGTAATTGCATCATTGGCTTTGCTACCACAGTAGAAATAAAGAGTGATTTTGGAATTGCAACTGATGTAAACAAGCTCAACACATCCGTGTCTGCTAACATGTTTAACACATACTTGTGATTTTACATTAAAACAGATGAGACTGAATTAAAGCAAAAAACACCGTTGCTTACTCACTTATTTGCACCCAAGAAGTAGCCACCCTGAGGACCATGACCGTATTCCAGCTGCAGATCCTACAAATGCAAAAGAACAAATCTTTAAGGTGAGCGTCGAACATGTACCCTGTGCCCCGCTGTCCCCCGTCCTCTCTGCCACACCAGAGAGGCAGAATCGTTTTGTTTTCCTGCCCCTCGTGGCTCCTAGTGCTGCTCTCATGCCCATCGCGCCCAGGAAATTCCTTGGAACCAGCCTGCTGCAGCCCTAAATCCTCCTGAAATTCTGTCCCTTCCTTGGGCACAGGAATCATTTGCTCGAAAAAAAGAAAAAGAGGGAGAGAAAAGGACAGAGGGAGGGAGGGAAAAGGAAATGTGAGCGTCAAGGGACAAAGAGAACACTGAAAACAAAGAGACTTCGGGATCTCTCTAAACTTCATCAAATTTATCACATTACTTTTTGCAGAACCCAAGCACCCGCACTGGCACACTGGAAGTGTTCATCTTAGGCAGGGATGTGTTGTGTCAGGGAGCCTGAAATGCCTTTTGCACATGGGGATGTTAAAGACATAAGTATAGAGGACATGAAACGTGTGCTTGTAACTCTGACATATGTTATTCTGACATATATTTTAAGGATAAGTATATATGACTTTCACGTATACTTAACATAGCCTTTCATACCGACCAGAGAAATACAGCATTAACAGAATTGGCAGTGAAGTCACCCGCCCACACAATCACGGTGTGCAGTTATTGCAAAAAAGTGGCAAAAAGCTTAAGAAACTACTGTTCAAAAGATGACACAAGACTAAAAATTTAATGAATTACAGGGAATACTGACAGGTTGTCTGAAGCATCATCAAATTTACATCTGCCAGGAAGATATTACTACAATTAGAGTTTTACTTGCTTCTTCAGCTGGATCACGATGGGAGAAATCAGCACATAAACACGCTCCTAAAAGAGTTTTACTTGCTTCTTCAGCTGGATGGGAGAAATCAGTGCATAAATACGCTCCTAAGCAAGTGTTTGCATCCACCAGGAGCTGTTAGCCATTAATCACTTGAGTGAGTGATAAGTGAAGCTACATTGCTGCTTTCAAGGTAATACTGTAGAGGTCTCTCAACTTCTTTTAGCTGCTGTCTGAATCCGAATCACTCCCTTGTTCCTGGAAAAGCTGCCCAGGTCCCCAGGCTAAGAGAGCAATAAGCCTGGGGTAGGTAACAGTGACAGCTCAGAGCTGGGATCTCCCAAGGGGAGCCTGTAAATATCCAGGGAAAGTCTCCCGCTAGACTTGCCTGTGCACCAAGCTGATAAAACACAAGCCACCCAACTTTCAGGTGATAATTTTATGCTTTATATATATTTTAATGGAAACCTGTAAAACATTGTTTTCTACTCAGTGACTAGTTCCGGGTTGTTTCCTGTCTATTTCTACCACATCTCATAGCATTCGATTGCTTCAGTGATCTCTCCTATTTTCCCAAGGCACGTAAGACATTGTGGGAGTCGCTTTCCCTCAAGAAAAGCTGTCCTAAGCTCTCCTCATTTCAGTCTCTTCATTACTTCCATCATCTGTCACCTTCTCCAACCAATTCCTTTCTGCTGGTCCTCACCATCACTTCATGTTCTCCTGCTTGACATGAGGCTACAAAGATTTAACTTTCTTTACTGGGAATATTGACTTTACTTCCAAACAAGAGGGATATATGGAAACATAAGATGTCACTAGAACTCCAAACAAGGAGATTAAACAGATTGTGCAAGCCCATGTGTCAGACCCAGGATGGCAAGGCTGCTGGAAAACACAGTCCTAGAATGCTACAGAGAAACCTGAGATTTGTACCTTAAGTGACAACTGTTTTGCCTAACAGATTAAACAGATAATAAAAGCCTTACGCTAGATAGAGCCAAAATGTCTGTCCATTTTGATTTAGACACCATATAATGCATAGCTATGCATACTGTACAGCAATGACAAGAATATTAACAGGAGAAAATAAGCAAACCTCCATAAAGCATAAAGATTCTTCACCTGTCACCAGCCTTTAACAAGACCTACAGGCAGTTCCCTTTATAAAAAAGGACATCTGCCAGAGTAACTTATATTTAAATATTTTAAAAGGACAAAAACCCTTTGTATTTATTCAGTTTACTATTGTGCTGCCTGCTAGCATTTATTAGACTATGGTTATAATAGGAGATGTATATTCTTCACTTCCTGCACTTAACTTGCTTGTTAGTATCCTTGCAAGCCTTGTAAACATCCCTGCTTTCATCCCCAATGTAGATGTAATTTGTTGCTAGGGAAATTCATTTTTTGCATTCCTGAGAGAGAAATGCTGACAGCAAGAGCGCCTTTCCAAAGTGCAATCTGTTTTTCTCTTGTACCCCTCAATGCCAAATATATCCAGCAATTATAATTGTATAAACCTTCAAGCTGCATGCTTGATATACAAACAGAGGGAAGTACTGTCTGCATTCTGCAATGCCTCCAGGGAGCTGCTATGTGTTATCAGAACAACCAGTATAATTAAACAAAAATGTATTTCACAAAGCTGAAGTCTTATCAGGTATGGCTTCTCCCTGAGAAGAACAGGTTAGCATTAGTTATTTAATGATGCAAGTGTCTGCTTTATAAGTTTTTATCTCTTTTGCATCCTAAAAGTTTCCCAGCAACAGTATTTATCTCCATAAGTATTTTCATTTAATGCACGTACAGTGTTGATGAGCATTAGTTGACTGAAACACTTTCCAGACCAGGCAGCACCAAAGCAGAGCCACTGCACGGGTCTCTCCAAGAGAGTCCCCAGGTCTGTGCTTAACCCTTTTCTCCTTGCTACCAATGAGCTGGATATTAGAGCACAGATGCAAGCCCAAACTCTGCAGCCGAGCTCAGGCTGCCAGCGATGTCCCCCGGAGCCGCTGGATCCGCGCACAAGGTGCCACCCTCTGCGGCCACACGGAAGAACGTGGCAATACAGGGAATCCCGACTGGTTCTTCTGGTCCTTCTGGACACTTCCATAAGGCAAATGCTCTGGAAAGGCCATTCGCACCTCTCCAATAAAGGAAGATGTTTATCAAACTAGTCAACAATGGAAGAAATATAGAATTTCTTCGTATTTTTCAGAGTGAAGACAAATTTGGGAATACGGCCATGCTATCAAAAAAATAAAAAAAATTAAAAAAATCCCTGAAACTGATTCAACCTGCAATGCCTTTAGCATTTTAATTTGCAAAATGTTATAATCATTTTCTGCAGCGTGTCATGATGAACTGATTGATATTTTAACTTTCATATACTTAATTTCCCGATTAAGGGATTTATTGCTGAGGGCCTAGTTGAACTGGAAATCTGTTTTTAATGTGTTCACAGTGCTTCAAAAAACGATTCTGAATGTATCCAATAGAACAATGATTCACAGTTATTTTCTACATTTGCTATTCCTCAAACTTCAATCTAGTGATAAACAAGATTATTTGGAGCGACATAATTAAGGCTTTAACCTCAGCAGCTGCTGGGGAAGTAATTCTGAGCATTAAAAACTATAAATCAGCTTTGGATTGCTAACATATATCAAATAGGAACGTACAGACATATTTTTATCTCAGTAAAATGAATGAATAAGCATTGCCTCCATAGAGAAGGATCCGTATTTGATTAAGAGCCTAACATTACTTAATATATATGCAGTACTTCTAATGCTCTTATTTCGTAACAAATTGCATGCCTGAATTTCTTTTGATAGTGGCAATAATTTAACACATCCAAAATAGGATCGCCTACTTTATTAACGAGACCAAGTAAATTTTCAAGTCTGCCAGGGAGGAATCGTGGCCATTACTGCCCTGTAGCTGCATGTCCCCTTCTTCCCTGCTTTGTACAGTAGTGCAATCCACAAACTTTCATGAACGTTCACTTGGCACATGACACCACAAACCATATTATTTCATATTTCTATAACGAAGAGGGATACCCCTCTCTCAAGCACCTACATTAAGGCCTTGCTACAAGCAGCAGCTGTAGGCAGCGTTTGTAAAGCTGCTTCCCAACAACAGAATTAGCAACGTCAGCTTCGCTCCTCCTTCTTTAACATTTTCCTACCGGTATTTCAATTTCTCTGCCACAAATACTAAGTTAGCCTGCATTAGCTACTCTGAAGCACAGCATTAATGAAAGTAACCGTTGCCAAAGACTTTGTGACAAACGATTAAATCCAAAACATGTTTATGAACCACAAAAACAGACATGACCAAAGCATTTAAGTAAGACCAATGGTGTAAGTGCACTTAGCAAATACAACAGGGCAGACAGGGGTAATTGTAAGTCTCTTATCGAAAACCACTTTAGGCTGGAGGCTGAAATATGGAATTCAAGTTCTGACCAAATCCTCTGCCCCCACTAAAAGGTAGAATTCACCACTCTTCACTGCACGGTAATTAACCCAGGATAATTGAGTCCAATGCGGGAACATTTGTTTTTTCCCCCTACTGCAAGAACAAAAACAACAGACAACCCCCCCGACACACAGAACCACCTGCAGCGCTGCGGGGCAGACCAGGACCACGCAGGATGCCCCACGGCGCATCCCAATGACACAGCTGCCAACCCCACACCGGGTTGGCAGGAGTGTCCCCAGGAGACCCACGGAGGGACTGTCCCTCCGCACGTGGCACTCCCCGTGTGGGGTGTCCCAGATGGCAGAGACGCTGGTAAACCAGAGGGAATCCGGCAGGGAGCCACAAGGATGGCTGTGGGGCCTTCCCTGCAGGGCGTTAGATGCTCGAGATATTTCTGAAGATGTATTTAATAAAGTTAAAAAAAAATGGAATCATAAAGGTTGGAAGGGACCTTTGGAGACCGTCTAGTCCAACCCCCTGCACACGCAGGGTCACCTAGAGCTGCACAGGACTGCGTCCAGGCGGGTTTTGAACAGGTCAGAACAGATGTCAAAACACACTGCAGAGCTGGAACAAGAGTAGGGGAACCCTAAACAGCAGGGCTGAATACGGCCAAGCTCCCAGCAACCACAACATGGACAAGTTCAAGTCACAGCAAGCCAAATGATGGAGAGGGAAAAGAGCCACGCGGATCAAAACGAAACAAGAAATCCCCCGGCACAGCTCTGCACTCCCTTCCCCCGTGGGCTTAGGTCATACAGCTCACAAATAAAAGAACATTACTATAAAAACACAGCTGATCTAGTGAAACAAGAAATCCCCCGGCACAGCTCTGTGCTCCCTTCCCCTGTGGGCTTAGGTCGTACAGCTCACAAATAAAAGAACATTATTAAAAAAAATGCAGCTGATCTAGTAGAATACATTTTTTCCCCTCATTTTGCACAGTATACAAAGATGTAAAATATGTAAAAACACTGCTCTTCTGCTACATGGCACCCAAAGAGCAAAGGGGAAAAAAAGAAAAGAGAATGACTTTCCACTTTTTTTTTTTTTTTTGGCATTTGGCATTGCCAACTAAATATTTTTAGAAGTGCAGTAAAAGAAAGTTTGGAAAAATATGTGCACTTAGGAGCACAGTTTTCTAAATATTCTGTTATTAATATGAAGAGAAAGTCTTTTCTATACCTTGCCCCTATGATCACCCTGCCCCCAAATTCAGGAATTCTGCATTGCAAGACAGTGAGATAAATAAGTCTCCTCAATAACAGTGACTCAACTGGACACGAATGCATGTCATATATTTGCAATACTAACACAGTATGAAGTCTCTCTCACATTACATAGCTTTACATATAGATGAATCCTTGCACTGAATGGCTCAAACACAGATGAAACTCTGGGACAACCACAAGACAAAAACATGAGCATTGAAGAAGGAAAATAAAGACAAATCCAACATTGACAAAGAAAGGCGTAAGATGAAAAATACCAGGTTAGATCTTGCAGTGTAGTACATTTCTTCTGAATTGTCCAAAAAATCGCTACTGTCAGGCTGTTCATTAGATAGAGATCAAGAAACTTAAGTTATTTACATTGTGACTGCAAGGCAAGTATACATAAAGGGAAATTTTCTTGCTAAGAGAAGAGAGAGGAAAAAAAAAAAGTTAGTTGAAACTCAAACCATGTTAAAGCAGTTCTGGGGTGAGGGAAAGTGTTTCAAACACGGCTAAGGGCATCGTCACATTGCCAAGCACTGACACCAAAATAATGAATTATTGCTCATCAAGTGGCCTGTGGGCACGGGTGACATAGCACGGCCAACAAGGCGCTATGCTGGGGGGCCAGTCCTTTGGCTTGTGCACTCATACCCTTGAGTGAATTAGCAGAAGGTTTAAGCATGCCTTAGTAAGACAGAAGCAAAAGGGTCAGAAGAATTGCTTTAATAAAGAGAGACGTGCATGGTTTTCCGTGGAGCAAGAGACAGGCATTTCTTGCTTCCGTTTCCATTTCAAATAATTTCTCTTTCTCCCAGAGCGCGCAGATTATTACGAACTTCTTGGTCTGCTTTATGCTGAAGCTCTTCACCAAAAGATCTGCTCTCTGAACAGCTCTCTTGCAAGCGTTTCACGTGCCAATTTAACTGTTCTGTAGGTTCCAGATCTAATGATAAAATATGATTTTTCTCTGGTCTCTAGATTCAACAATCCCATTTATAAAAAATCATAGTTATGTTTCCCTCTTGGCTGACAAAAGTCATAAGAATCAATGCAACTCTTCTAATTCAGCATCTACAGCTAGTAGTGTATTACATAAACAGCTAAGGTAGATACAAATATATGATGTAAGCAGTTACCTTTGCTTATTGGAACTATTTATCTTGCTTGCAGTGGCATTATTACATATGTCACAGTAATTCTGTGACAAACTGATGCTTGTTTCATAAAAAGGCATTCTTTTCCATTCATGCTTACACTGAAAACAAACTCAAATAATTATACTAGTACTACACAAAAATTCCTGCCAAGACATCAGAAATAAGATATTAATCTTTTAAAGATAAAAAGTATATGTCCTAAAATAAGAAAAATTTTATCTCAAAAGACCAAATGGGGTCTACATGCTCCATTCTTACACAGGCAGCCAGGCAGTTCATTTCCCTCTTCAGAAAGACCCAAACACACAGTTATAGATCTTCCTTATGGGCAGTGGGATAAGGCAAGGTCTTTGAACAGTTTGAAAAGGTACAAACTGGCAAGAATACACAGTACAAAATAAAATGCTAAATAAAAAAATCTTTATCTTAAAAATTAATCTGAATAGTTTGAGTCCTCTCCTCTCGCACAGCAGCAAGAGTTTTGGTGACTCTAAAGCACAGAGGTCCTGACAGTTACCACACACCAGGGTAAAGGCTCAACCCCTCTCCAAGGGCTACAGGCTTCTCCTGCTAAGGAAACGCTTTCAGAAGTTGTGTTTTAACACAGCTTGCAGAAAAACTTCTCCTCTCAGCTTAGCATCACAGATCGAGAGGGCGCAACAAAACTGCCTCTCTGTCCCAGGAGGTTGTCCAGCTTGGCAACTGTTTGTACAGTCAGTGATGGATAAAATAAAACGGAGAACTAACCAGCGTTTTTAAAACTTTAGCTTCTCCACTCAGATATTTTGTAATTACAGTTTCATATGTCAAATGAAATTTTTAAAGAACAAAAGTGTGATACTGAACTGTATGACACTACCAAACATTTTCTTTAAAATCCAAACAATGCAGTGGAGAAGCAAAGTTGTATTAACTTGAAATCACTCCAAAAATCATTTCTGAGGTAACAGATTAGTTGGTCGTGGGAACTCTCACATTTTACTATCGTGCTCAATGAACACCTTATAATCAAGACCCTAAACAATGCTGTTGAGCAGTGAAGTCAAGGGCTACATAGCAGATCTGAAATCATTGAGCAAGTCCTCGTGTGATGAGGTAAGGCGCTTTCCTCTCTTGAACAGGCACCAGAAACTGCAGACTACCCAAATCCAGGCAGCTGCTGAGGAAGAAGGAGGTTTCATACAACCTCATCCACGCAGAGCTGCTTGGCAGACTGCAAAGGACAGGGCACCGCACAGGAGACCTTGGGATACTAGAGAGCTCCAAAGGAAACCTGTGCCAGAAACACCATGCACACGGGGTTTGTAGAAGAGGCAAGAGGAAATCCATTCCTAGATACGTGCCTTTCCCTCAACGAACTTGAGGAGCAGAGCTGGTGTCCCTCGTACCTGGTAACAGGCCATTTTTTTCACCTTAACACCTGCTTTAGGTAAGTGGAACACAAAAGCCTGCAGTAGGGTAGCAGAGGAGTGTCTTTCATCAGGAATGAGAAGGAACTGCCCAAGTGCACAAATGTGGAAAGCAACAGATGCCATGGAAGAGAAGATACCACAGTGGGGCATGTGAGACAGCACAGACACCTTTTCCCCCACTGCTTGAGCTCTCATTCCCCTTGTTCCTCACCGCCCGCCCTCGCGGCCCCTTGGTACAAGGAACAGAGGCAACAAACCTTGCCTGACTCAGTACAGCTCAGGTGGGTTTAAAGACTCCGAATGAGGCTACACAAAATTTGTGTGGAAAAGGAACGATCCCACAAAAATCCATTTCTTAAGGTGTCATAACCCCTCCCAGGCTTTCAATTTTATGATTATTTCTGATATCAATCACTGTCAATGAGAGAATGAGGGAGAGCAAAACCTGTGTAAAAAACAGTAATTCTATAAGTAACTAAGGGGAATGATATACTTGGCAATGAAGTATAAAGGATGAAGGAAATCCACAAGACAGTTGTTGCTTACCACAAATGTCACACCCGACACCCCAAAATAAGGGATCTTACTGCATACAGCATAATGGCAACATAAGATTTAGGACCAGTATGTTATCACTTTCTATAAAAATTGCTAATAAATTTAGTGGTGCTAAGGAAGTGTGCCGCACATCTTAGACTTCCCCTTCTCCACAAGTGTTTGCAGGGATTAATATGCCAAGCACAGCCCATGCTACTTGCTACTCACAAATTCATGATGTGGCTCTGTCTCCTTTCGCAAGGGTGGATCAAATTTTACTTGACCAACTAGACAGGAAAAAAGAAAAAGAAGAATTTGAGTTGAATTGAGATGGGAAAGAACTTGTCTCCAGAGGTTAATAAAGAGAGGTAATTCATTAAAAAAAAAAAAAAAAGCATCTTATCACTGCTGATGAAAACTTTTGGTATGTGCACAACTTGTGCCCACTACAAAGTAATGGGCACAGAAATTACTTATCATCTATTACAGAGACAGCACTGCCATCATTTGCCCCAACTTCTCTCTAGACGGACCAGGAAAAGAATTTAGGGAACAGGACACGGAACACTGTCTTTAATGGGACATTGCAGCTGTAGTGTATAGAAAAATACATCCTCTGTGTGAATTCACTCATGGATCTGTTTCTCTGGGAGAAGGAGACTCACTAGCACTAATGAACTTCAAAAGAAGTTTGGAGAGTGGTGATCACATCTTGTAGAAGAGCTCTTTGGCAGATGCTCCTCATTTTTAGCTCAAGAAAAAGGCTTCATGTATCACCCTGGTTTAATTCAAGCAAAGGAATAATTTAGGGGATGGAGTCTGGTTTTAACAGCTGGTGATCAACTTCTTCCTTTTTTAATTTCAGTGTCTTGCTTCAATTTGTTAGTAAAAATGACAAAAAGATATTAAATTAATGAAGGATGAGAAAGCTTCCCCTCAGCAACCAGCAACTAGAAATGGTATAGGCTTTCATTTCAACTCTACAGGAAGGGTGTTTTTTTGTTGTTTTTTTGTTTTGTTTTGTTTTTTGTTTTTGTTTTTTGACCCAACAGTCCAAGATTTAATTGCAAGACTTTTCATCCTCAGACACCTAAAATCATTATACATAATAAGCAGCACTGTAACAGTATGCTGTTCAGCAGAATCAGGCATCACGCTGAATACCTGAGTGAAGCTGCCCCGATCAGCTCTCAAAAGAGCTCAGGTTATACCCTCCTTACTCAAGATGGAGCAATAATGAGATTTGTTGGAGTACACACACAAAGGTCTGTATTCAAGTATTTTACATTCACATTTATTCTGCAAAGTCATCTGGAGCCTGTCTCTGTAAATGAAACTGCATGTTTTTATCTTGCTGCATATCCATAAAAATGTTTCTGTATATGCCAAATACGCAGCAGTCCCAGTGGAAGCTATAGGTGAACATTAGTAACTAAATTGAGAAAAATTAATATACGCATGCTTACAGTTTATTTCAGAGCGTGTCTTTTCTTCTCTCACATTTCGGCTTGTTGAATGAATTCTATGAGGCACTAGGAGAGGCTAGAAAAAAAAAAAAAAAAAAAGCTTTAATTCCAAAGTATATTCACTTCAAACAAAGCATTCTTGTCCTGTATCATGCACCTGTCTTTAGCATGTTTCTTCAGCAAAATATCGAAACCGAAAAATTAACCAAAAATATTTGGATTCTTCTGAGCTTTAAAAAAAATGGTTTGCTATAGCTCAGGATGCATGTTGATATTTGATTTGATTTTCTACTTAAGTATTCAAAATGCTCTAAGTGCTGAAAGATTACGTACCCACAATTCTTTGCTGATGAATTTGCACACTGTGTTTGTGTTTATAACAGAACCATCAGAAGCCAAAGTTTTGGTGTGGGGGACACATTTTTGTCTTTAAAGCTCCTTGTGTGAGTTCCTCAGCCCTGTCACAGATGTCAGCGTTACACTATGGGCAGAACCTGCTTTTACATTGCATTCTACCAGCTCACAGACTTGCTGGAAACACCCTGGGAACCCATGGGACAGAAATTTGTGAACACACATGAGCACTAGACGTTAAAGAAGAGTTGCAGGTGAGGATCCCCACGCCCCTGAATGATGTCCTACGAGTCAGTTCATCCAATGAGCAGTTCTACCCACAACAGCAGCAACAGCGAGAAGAGTCCCAGAGCCTCTAGTTGAGATACAAACAAAAGACAACTCAAAATCTGACTGGGGGCACCAGAGAAAGCCTATCACTCAGAGGGTCTCCATCCCAGAGGGAATTCCTGCTTGAGCTCTGGGAAGCTGGGTCACAGGCCTGTGTGAAGAAAGGCTCTTCGCTACCACCTAGCAAATCTACATGCAGCTGCCTGACTAGAATAACAGTCCAGATAACAGAAAACAGTGAAATCCTCATCTGCCTATCACAAAGGTCAAGTTCTCAAGTTGCCCGAGATGCCCTGCCCAGGCAATGGAGCAATAGAAAGAGCTGACACAGAAGGTGCACAAGCTGCCATCAAGTGCAAAGGAACAGCAGCAAACTTTCTGACACCAACGCCATTCAGACACAGCCCGAAACACTCTATGGAGCTCAAGAGCACTCTTAGCCCCAAAAACATACAGTGCATGAAGAGGCAAGCATAAGCACTTTGCTTTTTGCAGCCCTTCCCACTAAGACTGTGCCCATCACAGGAACCGCCATTGAAACTCACACATACAACTGCCAAACAAATGACAAAAACATCATGGGGAGACTTGTTTGTTACATCTGAACAAGCAGAACGCACGAGCGTGATCTTTTCTTCTTCCATGTTGAACGTTGCCTTTGCTTGAATACTCCTCTCTACCTCACCCATGTAACTTTCCAGAGTATCCAAAGAGTAACAGATAGCACCCTCAAAATTGGGGCCAGGTCAGGAACTGGCATCTGAGGAGGCAGTAGAAATCTCTTCAAAGACCACTGATAACCAGGAAAGCTCTTCAGCTTTCAAAAAAGGCATCAGGGAGTAGGTCTGAGCTCAAGATTCTCACCAAGGTTGTACTATCTTAAGTTGCTTCTTTCTGTTTTTGATGGATGCATTCAGGTGCCTCTAGTATAGAGGCAGATATTTTCCAAGTTCTGATGAGTACCTGCATCTACCTCTACGAACAGGCAGGTCTTGAAGCAACTTCAACTGTGTATAAAAGAGCACAGACATCCCTCAACCTCTTTGATTTATTAGGGGAGTGACCGCAAGGCCAACAACCGCTTTACCTGTGGTAGCACTTCTTCCTTATCTGAAACACAGTCTTTGCTCAAGATGCATCAGATAATCTCTCGTCTGCTTTGTTCACAGAAGAGGACCTTGCTTATTGCGCAAGGAAGAGCTTTTACAGATGCCACTACAAATTTTATTTTGCAGATGAATTTAATACCCCAAGGATGGAATGCTCTTTGATAACACGGTTAGAAGAGACATCCAAGTTGTGTGTCTGATGAAGATCCAGCACTACAGGTAATGGTGACTGAAAACCCACTGAAGAGCTCAGTGCCACGTGAGGAACAACAATGGAGAAACAACAAACCTGAACTAATTTTGCAAAGCACAAAACACAAGATGTGTGAGACAGCTTGTTTATGCTCAGTAGTGTCAGCCAGCCCAGCTCCTTTATAAATGATGAAAATAAGCATCTTCTCTGATCACTGCTGTGAGTTTGCTTTCTTTTCCTATTATTTTCTCCCCAGACAAGGCATAGCTTTTTCCTGATATCATACTTCGCTATGGGATTAAACGGTAAGTAATATACTGAACAACAGAAGAATCTTCTATTTGTTGTGTATTTAAAAATAGAGCTCTTTCACGCAACTTCTGCATTATTATATGGCAGAAGTTACATGCAAGAGCTCCATTTTTAAAAGCTATAAGTAACAATCTGTAAAATGTGCACTGAAGTGATACTACACAGGACGAGAAGTGAGATTCTTCACTGAAGTGACTCAAAATGAAGATGGCTGGGATACCTGCTGAAGATGCCTGCAAGTGACACAGGAAGACAGTACATCAGTAATTCCATATAGCTTCCAGGAAAGCAGGGAAGAGCCACAGTGCAGGCTACTTTGATCCCAGCAGTTCAGTGGTAGGAAACACACCCAAACAGACACATTTCCTTCTTACAAGGCCCATGAAAGCACTGGTTTTCTGGTTTCACGAAAATACTATTCCAGCAGGCCTCAGAACTGTCATCACTGAACTACAGGACACCCAATCCTTAGAACTTAACCACGAGCAGATCTGAGCTGTCTTTGTCAGCGCTAAGAAATCAGACCGCTTTCTCTTAATACTGATGTGGAAGTATATATACTAAAGGCTTCCTTGTGTGTTTAATATCACTGATGGGTCCTTACAGAAAAGGCCTCTTTTTCACTTGCAATTTGACTGTTCCATCTTCATGCCTTCCTCAATCTCCCCTCCACACCCAAAATATTTAACAAAAGCTAACACTGCACTCCACAATAGAATAAAACAGATTTTACTTTTGCTTTTCCTCTATATTTATGCCAACTTTAACGGACAGAAACAGCCTCTGTGCATGTCCACTGCCTTTGCTTTTTCTAGAAGGTGGAAGCTCATTTAACTTGTGAAATCTCAAAATTAATACCCTCAGAATAGTTGTTCCTTGTGAGACTATTTGCATTTGAAGGCATTTTCATACTAGTTTTTCCCATAAAGAAAAATAAAATACATAAGCATGCAATGAATCAATGGAAGTTATGGAAACTGTAAACATTTGGGAAGTCTTCAGTAACAAAAGTGTGAAGAAGGCAGCAAGAAAGCATTTACCTTCTCTCAATTGTGAAACCCCGCAGTCCTGCCAAGTTTTTTGTTTTTATATAAGCCCACTATTTTTTCACCTGCTGTTAAAGCAGAAATTTTGTCTTTGACAGAATAAGAAGCAAAATTAAGTCTCCTATATTATTCTAAGACAAAAATATAATTGGCAAGAAACACGCAGCAAAACATTTAACAGAACAAATGGGATCCTTTGCTTCTTGTCCTCATGTCAAAGTTGAGCAGACAGTAGACTGCGAGTCAAGGATTAGTTGTATGTAAGTGTGAAATGCTTTTTATTAATGCTTTCCTTGCAGATGAATGGAAATTCCAAGAAGAAACAGAAGGTAGGAGGCATGGTAGAAATCAGGACAGGGAAGCAGTTTGCATTTGCATCTGCAACACAAACTCTTGCAAAGTGACAATAAGTGAAACTTGTGAACCTAACAAAATGAACGAATGAAATGTATCTAACAATTTTGTTCTGTTGAGTAATGAAATCCTAGCCGGATTTTACGATTAAAATAGACTCCTACCTCAGGATCATCATCATCAAAATCATGGTAAGTGGAATGATCAGGATTGTTCATTTTATCCAAAAGTTCAATAGCGAGACTTCGATTTAATGGCTGGGTAACAAAAGGATGCTGAAAGAAGAAAAAAACATATCAAAATTCATGGTCATCTTGTAGCTTATTTTAATTTCATTAACATTTTAAAAAGGCATATACAAATAAAACATATCAAAATTCATGGTCATCTTCTAGCTTATTTTAATTTCATTAACGTTTTAAAAAGGCATTATACCTGTAATAATTTTTCAGCTGTAGGTCGTTTTTTAGGGTTTTTTGTAAGTGCCATTTTCACAAAATGATGGAAACTATTGGACCTGCAAAATGAAATGGTAAACATTAGAATTTCATGTCCAGTGAAATACATGATCATTATCAACTGAAGCAGAGAACTGCTTACCATTTCATTTTGTCCTTTAGCTTGGGAGGCTGGAAGTTGCTTTTCGTCATTAGAAAGAGCGCCCTGAAAAAACAGTGGATCTGTGGTTGGCATCGTGATGACAAATATAAGCCAGGTTATTAAGTTCTCTAACATTCCCTAAGATTCATGGAGAACGTAAGAAGTCTATCAGTTTAAGAGAAACTACCAGGAAAGTTTATATATTTACAGTAAACTAGAAAGAGCTTTGCATGCATTCAGTTTTGCATACGTTCAGAACACTTACATCTCAAGACCCTTCCAGCAGCCCCAAATAATGCAAGCACATGGAGCCAGTTACTCCAAACAGCTTAGTTAATGAACATTTATTGCCAAAAGAATCATTAGCCACCCACTAACCTCATTGGATGCAAGTCAAACATTGGGGGCTGGAGCTCGGCGAGTTCTATAGCAGTTATTCCAACTGCCCAGAGATCACAGAGCTGGTTGTAGCCACCTTTCCTTTCCACTGCAGCAACTTCTGGCGCCATCCTAAAGGGCAAGACACTTTTCTCTTAGATATGCTTCTCTTTACAGATCAAACATTCTTTTTTTCACTGTGCATTCCTCTACAGCACTGTATTTATAAGTTTAATAGTATATTGAGATATACATATATGCATATATATGTAAAGGTATACACCATACATGCTAATTTTAAGCTTCTAAAATTCACAAAATTCAGGAAGTGTAAGGTTTTTTCTCCCTCACTTATCCCTTTCTTTCCAAAGGATTAACACTGTGGCTCTCTCATTTAGTTGAGAGCAATGATAGGAAAAATATGTCCCAAGACAAAACCCTCCTTCTCTGGAATAAACAAGAAATTTTCATCAAACATCTTCCAGTAACTAAAAGGGCAGTATAAAAAACAGCCTCTTGGCAGGAAGTGGACGAAACCAATCGAACCTCTTTTTCCAAGAGCAAAAGAGACTAAGATATAATTATTCAACTACAGTAAAATAGAAATAAAATTATGCACATCATCCCAGAGAGCCATCAACTGACTTCTTGGAATAGAGTCTTTGAAAGAGGAATTTAATAAGCAACAACTTCCAGAAAGCATGAGTCCCGAGGAGTTTCTGTCAGCTCTAAACAAGAGTGCTCCTCATCTTTAACACCTATCTCACAGCAATGTTGAAAGGCCTCATTTAAGCTTACAAAATAGTTTCAGCACCTCGAGTGGAACAATTTTACATATGTAATTGATCTGCATAAAGGTACACCTAAATAAAATGATTCAGTAAGCAGCATTCCATGCTTTGCATTGCTGAAGTTCGGGACATATCATGAGTCCTCAATTACCACTTCGTACTACCAGAGATGGTTCAATTTTAAAATGTTACAAAATCAAAAAAAAGCTGAAAACAAGCAAAAATTTTAATACATTTCTTCCATCTTTCAGCATTTCAGGGATTTTAAAAGGATGGCACTGAAGGAGGAACGGGGGATAATTCTAAAATGAAATGGAAGAGAAGTGAAAAAATAAATAAGACAGATCACTGGAACTAAAGACACTGCAGAGGTTTAAATCCCTTTGCTTCTCTGCTGTCCAACCACAACTGCTGCTTGGACACCTCCAAGAGCCACTGAAACCTTCACACTGCTTCTCTAGCTCACTCAATTTTCTCCTGTGCAGTTTTTGCTTCCTGGCTTCTCCTCCCAAATCTCTAAGCGTTGCAAAGGAAAAGTGGTGCTTTGCATCAGGACTTAACTTCTGTAATGTGACTGAAGGGTGCCTGGGTTACTCCAAAAGGGAAGCGAATCCATATCTTGGTGTGACTTACACTGCATAGGAATGCTAAAAATGCTGTGCTTGAGTCCATTTCAAGTCTAAGAACTTAGATTACTTTTCCTTTACATTGGCTTTTTCTTGTACGTGCTGTACTTTCATACAGAGAGCTCTGAATACTTTACAAGGAAAAATACGCAGCAGAAAAATGCTATTTTTGCTTTGAGGCAAAAAAGGAACAACCAGTTTCATTACAGACAGAGCACATAAAAAACAAACATCTGCAATATAAATAGCGTAAATGATACAGGTTAGTTTACTGAGGAGAAGATTAAGATGCAACAGATAGCACAGAAAGGTAAATTTTATTTCAATCAGTCTAAACAAGTAAGGCAAAAAAAACACAAAACAAGCAAGCAAACAAGAAAATGGGTTAAAAATGACATTTCAGATGGGGCAAAAGCATCTGTGGAGACAAAAGCGAAACCTCATTATAAGCTGAGGAGTTGCAAGAGAGACAATACCTGGAGCAGGGGAACATATGGTACCAAAATTGATCCAAGTAAGGCAAAAAAAACCAAAACAAGCAAGCAAACAAGAAAATGGGTTAAAGACGACATTTCAGAGGGGGCAAAAGCATCTGTGGAGACAAAAGTGAAACCTCATTATAAGCTGAGGAGATGCAAGAGAGAATACCTGGAGCAGGGGAACACATGGTACCAAAATTGATTATCAAGAAAGAAAAATGTTAAGGTGAGACTTGAAGACATGCAAAAACACAGATAATCTGAAATGGACTGAATTGATTCAAGAGTAATAGCAGTAAATCAATTTGATTTTTTAGAGCATTGCAGCATCTTGTCTGATGTTCAGTTAGTTCAGGATTTAGCACAAGTAACTCAAATATGATAGCCAGAAAGTCCGACACACTTCAGTGATTCATCTACCCAGTTATGTAACATGTGTTTTCAACAGTGTTACATATTTTACTACTATATTAACAACCAAATAAAGTAATTACCAATATGGTGTGCCAATGAAAGATTTCCTTTTGGCAATTGTAGCTGTTATCTGTGCAGATACTCCAAAATCAGCTTTAAAAAAAAAAAAAGTAAAATAAGACAGTTCATAATTGAAGTAATGATTCAGGGTAATTCATTGCTTATCTATGCTACAGTATGGTTTCTCCAATCTGAGATATTTTTTTAATACAGGGGAAATATTTAACAAAAAATAAATAGTAAAAGCAAATAATGAAAAATTGCTGACCCTTAAATCATGGGTTAGCTGCACTCGATCACCCACCAAATATGTAAGCTACACACAAACATTTCAACACAAGAAAGAAAATGGCTAGAATAGAAATCCTACCATGTGCTCTCTTAATATGAAAAAAATATTCCAATTAATATTCTCTAAGCAGTTCCTTCAGGGAGTACTTTAAACTATATTTCATAGCCAGGATCTCTAGATGGTGCATTTTATTAAAAATAGTTAAAGCGTTCAATTTGATTTTTATACCATTTGGTCTTTAAAAAAAACAAACAAAAAAGCAATGTTCTAAAACTATACTCCAATTACTCCTAAATTATTAATTTAATGGTGAGCAGTTAGATATTATCAGCAAGACTCCCCACTGATGTTCATTATTCCTTAAAACAAACCTCTACATGAGATTAAAACCAGAAAGCCTTCTGCAGTATGTTTAGAGTACACAAACATTTAACAGTTTTAGTAACTCACCTAATTTTACATGTCCATTATCCGTTAAAAGAATGTTTGCCCCCTTAAAAACAATCAAAAAAAGCCTTCAATTAAAATACGCATTTTTTTAAAATCAAGTATCAGAAAAACTTCATGGGAAATCTATGATAGCCTAGGGGGCAAAGGACTCAATCAAGGATTGTGCATTCAAGAAATCTGAGCATTTTAAAGGAAAAATTTATGAAATCAGCAACTTCTATTATATAATGGAACTGACACATACAGGGCTTCTCATGAAGTTTAAGTTTAGCTCTATTTAGCCTATGGCACTACACAGTTCCCATTGTACACCAAACCCTCTCAACCAGCTAAATGGGATGATCTGCCTATGCTGGTAAATCCTTACTTTCTCTTTTTTCCTCTTACAGTGATTGAAAGGAACCAGGAACTGTAAAAGGTCAGAGTGGAAGTAGTTTAATTTTCTCTTCCATCTGTAGGAACTGGTTTTGTCCTGTTTGAGAGCCATGATAATTACAGCCCTAAGGATAAGCCTTGATATTCAAGTGTTTAGCAAAACTATTTCCGCCCTTCTGCAACAGAAATCCTGTTATTAAAAGTTTATTATTATTATTATTGATGACTGTGTCATTCACTTCAGATTTCTGATATAAACTAGCCCTGAAAAACAACTGGCACCATAAAACTACCACATAACAGGACGGAGGACAAACCTGACCTGAAGAAGGAAACCAGCTACAGGTAGATCACCACAAGAAGAGAAGTTGGCTGAACAAAGCTAAACACAGAGCTGTGAATGCGAGCACTGCCCCTCAACTGCAAAGAAAGGGGGCAAAGAGGGTTCCCAAAGAACCCAGGCTGCTCCAGACGGTGGTTTGATCAGGGAGAGGGAAGCGGGGCCTGCCGTAATACCCCAGCAGCGCAGCCAGGATTGCACAAGGGGAGTTAATGAGCCTTGGAAACGGAGCTTGGCCAACACCCCCACAGCCCAGTTAACGCGCTCACAACCTTGTCTGCCCCTCAAGGCTAGCAGAATAAATCTAAACCCACACAATTTTGCTAATTAAGGAGGCAGGTACAATTTGGCAGATCTGCAGGTGATGATCCTATTTTTCCACACTTGTGAGATCCGTATCTTTTAAATCCAACTGAAAGCATCCTAGGCATTTTAGTGAGCTCAGGTTTGTTCAGAAGCAGATACCAACGCACTGCCTCCTTTTAAGCAGCACTCAGCATCCTATAACTTACGACAAAAGTGACTTTCATGACTGTTCAGAACCCAAATACCCTTCTGCAATCAAGAACAACTCCTTGAAGACCTCAAAACTAGGCTGTATAAAGACACTCACATTTGAAGCTATCCTGTGCATTGCACCCCTAACCTCGCAAAAAGCACACCACTAAGGGGCATCAGAATTTACTCCCAAATTTCCAGGAGGAAGCCTGTCCGGTTTAACCTGGAGGCTGAGCAAGGAAGAATCTGGAAAGGTGAAGAGCATGCAATAAAACCCTCCAGGGACAAAAAGTGAATGGAAGGACCACAGGGAAGCAACAACAGAGCAAGGCAGCTTTGCTAAAGCCTTGTTCAGGTGAAGTTTTAACTAAGTCAGTGCCTATAGAGCCTGTAGCCTCTCTAGTGTTAGCCTGGAATGGAGCAGATAGAAGGAGTTTCCAACATTTAAGAACCATGTAGAAAGAGCAGGCATTGACCTGCAAACTGCTCAAAGGCAAGAAGCCAAGCAAAGAGCGTGTTTCCTAGCAGGTTCAGAGAGATGGGTATGTCAAGCTTCTTGAAGGGGCCGAAGCCTTTTCTTCTTGGGCAGGGAGCACGTCCATACGACGCCTGTACGGCAAGGGCAGCTGAACGGGTGCTGCTCTGAGCACCCGCCGTCGGCCACATCTCACAGCACTAGTCTGAGTGCTCCGCTTGGCTCCCATTACAAGAATAAATTATTACCACAAACCCATTTTAAAGAATTTTTTTGTTCTCTTAGGCAGAAAAAAACAGCTTTATTTTAATAAGTAGAAGAAACTAAGCTATTTAAAAACATCTCCCAAATATCTCCAACAATGAAGAACAATAACATTTGATATATTCGATTTAAAAAAAAA